GCCACGCGAACCAAGAGTGCGGGTAGGGATGTGCGGTGCAGGTGCTGTCCGCTGATCCACCCGCTGCGGATCGCCGAGGAGACGGCCACCGTGGACCATCTCAGCGAGGGCCGCTTCGAGCTGGGCGTGGGGCGCAGCGGCAACGTCCGCGCGTATGACAGTCATGGGCATCGATTACGGTGAGAGCAAGGAGCGGTTCCAGGAGGCGCTGGACATCATCCTGCAGGCGTGGTCCGGAGAGACATTCTCCTACGAGGGCAAGTTCACACCATCACCAACGCCACGCTGTCACCGATCCCTTACCAGAAACCGCACCCCAAAGTCCGTATTGCGGCCAGCAGCGAGGACAGTTTTCGGCCGGATCGGGGCGGTTGTCAACCCATCTTCCTGGGCCTGCGCGCTATGGACATCGAGGAGCTGAGACCACCTGCAGGAGTACAAGGACGAATGGCGGTCCGCCGGTCACCCGGGCGACGGCGGGGACATCAACGTGCGCGTTTCCGATGTACATCGCGCCCAGCGAATCGGAGGCTATTGAGGAACCCAAGGACAGCATCGAAGCGTTCTTCACTTCAGCCGTCAGCGGGAGCTTTTCGAGTACTCTCTGGACGCAGGGGTTGAAGTCAGCGAAAAACGGGCAGGCGCGTTACGAGAAGCTGGCCCAACTCGACCTACGAGGACCTGTTGGAGACCAGGGTAATTTTTCGGCAGTCCCGAGCAGGTCATCGACCGTTGCACGAGTTCCAGGACATGTTGGGCATCACCGGCATTACCGCCGAGCTGAACCCGGGCGGTTTCCTTCCAAGCAGGCGGTGCAACGCAGCTTGGCGCTGCTGACCCAGGAGGTCATGCCGGAGTTCAAATACCGCGTCGCCCGCCGACATCTGAACCCCGTCGCGGTTTCACAACAGGAGGTGAATGATCATGCCAGCGCGCACCGGAAAGGAATACATCGCCGGCCTCCGAGACCGTCCGCGGGAGGTGTGGATCGAAGGTGAGCGGGTTAAGGACGTAACCACCCACCCCGGCTCTGCGCAACGGGGTGAAGGCGGTGGCCGCCCTGTATGACATGCAGCACGACCCCGGCTTCGGGAGGAGATGACCTTCGCGTCCCCCCAGCACCGGGGATCCGGTGGGGCTGTCGTTCCAGATCCCGCGCACGGCGGAAGACCTGGTGCGCAAGCGGGAGATGATGTCGCACTGGGCGTGGGGCGAGCTGCGGGATGATGGGGCGCTCGCCGGACTTCATGAACTCCATCTTTACCGCATGGGCCGGCTCGTCTGATACTGTTGCCCAGGACCGGCCGGAGTTCAAGCAGAACGTGGTGGACTACCACGAATTTCTGCGGGAGAACGACGTCACCCTGACCCACGCCCTGGTCAACCTACAGCGCAGTCGCACGCCGGCCGCGGCGGACAACCTGACCGGGGATGTGGCGCTGACGGCGGTCCAGCAGACCGACGCCGGCCTGGTGGTCCGGGGCAGCCGGGTGCTGGCGACGCTGGGCCCGATCTCGGACGAATCGCCATCTATCCCGTTGGCCAGCCACCGCTGGCGGACGTACGATTGGAAGCACTCCTTCTCGTTCTCCATCCCGTGCGACACGCCGGGTGAAGTTCCTGTGCCGGCAGAGCCTGGACGTAGCCGGTCCCATTTCGACCACCCGCTGGGGTCGCGCTTCGAGGAGATGGACGCCGTCGTGTTCTTCGACGACGTCCTGGTGCCGTGGGAACGGGTCTTCCTGCTGGGCACGTGGAGCTGTGCAACAACTATGGCAAGGGAACGCAGTCCAACGCCCACACTGGCTACCAGGTGCTGAACCGCTGCGTGGTCAAGGCGGAGTTCGTGCTGCGCCTGGCGGACCTGATCGTCGAGACGCGGTTTCGGCTCCATTGCCCATTGCAGGAGCAGGTGGGGAGATCATCACTACCGGGACATGCTGGCCGCCTGCGTGCGGGCCGCGGAGGCCGACGCAGGCCAACCAGTGGGGCATGATGTGTCCGGCCATGGTGCCAATCCAGCGGGCCGCGCCCTGTTCGGCATGGACGCTGTATCCCCGCATGATCGAGATCATCCAGTTGCTGGGCACGAGCAGCCTGATGGCACTGCCGGCCGAGGCGGGACTTGAATCCGGCATCGCCCCCGAGGTCAACCACTACTACCTGGCCACCGACTCCCACCAGCGCGTGGGACCGCTCCAGGCTCTTCCTCCACCTGGCCTGGGACGCGTCGTGCAGCTCGTTCAGCGGGCGGCAGGTGCTGTACGAGCGGATGTTTGGCGGCAACCCGGTGCGCAACGCCATGATGCTGATTCAACAACTACGACAAGGAACCCTTCCGCCAGAAGGTGCAGGCGTTCCTGGACTCGGACAACTGACCCGCAACACCCCACCGAAACAGGAGGAATGAAGATGTCGTACACACCGAAGCATCTGGGGCACCTGGTAATGCGGGTGCGGGACATGGAACGCTCGCTGGACTTCTACACCCGCGTGATGGGACTGACCATCATGGAGCGGTCGCCCAGCGGGACGGTGTTCATGTCGGCCAACACCGAGAAGTCCCACGAGCTGGCCATACGCGCCATCGGGATGGACGCCGCCGGCCCCGACCACAGCATCGTCGGGCAGGCCCACATGGCCTGGCAGATGGAGACCTTCGAGGACCTGCAGGAGCTCTATGACCGGCTCCTCGAGAACAGCGTCCGCATCCAGCGCGTCAGCGACCACGGCGTCTCCCTGGGCGTCTACCTGCTGGACCCCGACGACAACGAGATCGAGGTCTACTACGAGATGCCCAGTTCCCAGTGGGAGCGCCATCGAGAAGGGCCTCTTCGGCGGCGCCTTCCCCCTCAGCTCCGCGAACCGGCCGTAGCCGCCGACGACTGATCTCGCTGGCAAGGGCTCTGGACTGAAGGCTGGATGGTCATGGAAACATCCAGCCTTTCTCATCCATGAGTCCTGCGTGGGCCATGACGACGGCAAATAGTAGACGGGCTCAGCACTGATACGCAAACGCGGATGGGAACAATCCGACGCGTCGATCACGACTACTTCAATGTATACAATTCCAGCGATACATACCCTGGCCGGATATTCTTTAAGGCTCCTGCCGCCCTGATTCTAGACCCTTTTTGGTATGTGCGCAGTCTGGGTGTCCAGTCGGCCGATGCGGACTCTGCGAATGCCATACGGTGATCAACGAACGCCATAACTGTCGTTGTCACTCGATAAAATTATGGCAACTTGAACCGAATTATCAAAGCGTTCTCTGTTACATCCCATACTTCTCCCTCTACTTCAACAAGCAGTCCCAATCATTTTTGATAGCGTTTCGCGCTCCACGTCGGTGAGGCCGCTAACCTTGTCTATCAACTCCTCAGCTGTGGTTTGGGTGCCACTGACCTGCGAGGACGGTCAGTTCCGCATCCGCAACAGTTGGTGCTGAAATTGATTGTTGCGGTGGTGCTTGCTCGTTCTCCAATTTGCGGGTCAGTACGGCGACCTGCAACAGCAACAGCAAAGCGGTTGGAATCAACCCAATACAACACGGCATTCCGCAAATCCGCGATGACGAATTTACCACCCCTTCTCCGAATGCGGAATGCGACGTAAAGGATTGGAGGCATCACGCCTGCAATCACAATTGATATCCAAACATGATCTAGCATCAAATTTATCGGCATGTTGGAAATCCTTGCCCACGATGAACATACTGGGGCAGGGCGAATTAGCTCATGGTATCGCGATGAAGCCTGGGTAACATTTTGCGCATGCCCCATTGACGCCGCAGCCATCAGCGCAGTAAAGCGATATTGACACCACCAGCTCCCCCACTGAGATGGGGTTTATTCATTGCGATAATGGAAGAACACGCAGAGTGACCGATCTGCATTCGGTTTTGGGCTAATGCTCCCGCCGTCGCTCTTACACATGGGATGAGTAGGTCTAGCGCGAGCTGACAAGACCGCATGCGTTGCGACCATGACGACTGTCAAACAGCATAACCGCTCTCGCGGTTGCGGTTGCGGCGAGGGTTTAGCCCCAATCCACCGACAAGATGAGGCTGGCGGCGTGCTGAGGGGATGAGAAAGTGCTCCCGGCTTCGGGGATAATGGTTTTTGAAACAGAAAACCAACCCAAAACGAGGAGCACCCAAAAGATGCTACCACGCAACCACCCTGACCGCATCCACGTCGCCTTCGACGACCACCGTCTGGTGGCCAATGCCGGACTGCTCCTGCCGGTTACCCTGGCCCACCATCTGGGTCTGGGTGAACTGGTGGACCGCCATGTTGACCTGGGAGATGCGCCGGGTCGAGCCAACCCGGGAGACAAGATGCTGACGCTGGTGGCGTCGGCACTGGCCGGCGGCGACTGCATCGATGACGCCGACGTGTTGCGCACCGGCAGCACCGCACGGGTGCTGGGATGTGCGGTGAAGGCGCCATCCACCCTGGGGACCTTTCTGCGCAGCTTCCGGTGGGGTCATGTTCGCCAACTGGATCGGGTGAGCCGGGAACTGCTGGCGCGGGCCTGGGCTGCTGGCGCAGGACCCGGCGACGAGCCGTTGACCATCGACCTGGACTCCACCGTCTGCGAGACCTACGGACTGGGCAAGGAGGGCGCCCGTCGCCATGGTTACACCGGCCAGCGGGGCTATCACCCGCTGCTGGCCGTCGCCGCGGACACCGGCGACGTGCTGATGGTGCGGCTGCGCCAGGGCCGGGCCAACACCGCGCGGGGCGCGGACCACTTCCTGCGGGAGACGGTGGGCCGGGTGCGCTACGCCGGAGCCACGGGACAACTCACCGTCCGCGCCGACAGCGGCTTCTACACCCACGCCATGGTCGCCGTCTGCCGCAAGATGGACGTCCGCTTCTCCATAACCGTCCGCCAGCACCAAAGCCTGCGCAACCTCATCGAGGCCATACCCGAGACGGACTGGACGCCGATCCCCTATTGGATGGACGGCGCCGCTGACGTGGCCGAGACTGAATACACACCCTTCCAGCATGAGCCCGACGCCGCGCCAACGCGGCTCATCGTACGCAGGGTCGAGCCCACGCCCGGTTCCCAACTGGCGCTGCTTACGGACTACAGCTATCACGCCTGCATCACCGACCGGGAGGGCGACACCCTGGAACTGGAGGCCGACCATCGCCGCCATGCCGAGATCGAGAACGCCATCCGCGACCTGAAGTACGGCGTGGGCCTCAACCATCTCCCCTCCGGCCGCTTCGCCGCCAACGCCGCCTGGCTGGCGGTGCAGGTCATCGCCCACAATCTGGCTCGCTGGACGGCGCGCATCGGTCTGGGCGAGCTGGTGGTTACCACCAAGACCCTGCGGCGACGCTTCTTCTCCCTGGCCGGACGCCTCACCCGCAAGGCCCGCCGCCTCACCCTGCATCTGCCCCAACACTGGCCCTGGGAAAACCAGTTCAGTCGTGCCTTGTCCCGGCTGAGAGCCCTGCCACTGCCTTCCTGACGCCGCCTTCGGCGTCTGCCCTCTCCTCCAGACCGTTCAACCGCCTGGCCGTCCCGCGTCAGGCTGGGCACCGCGTGTCTCCAGCTGCCATCTGCCCGACGATCTCGCCTTCCGCCGCCGCTTGCGAGCCGTCAACATCCCTCTGGTGTAGCTGTCTCGACCCGCACCCGCCCAAATCCGGCGGGGTCAGGG